CCAACGGAAAATACATTGAGTTTCTTAAGAACTTCAAATTTATAGGGTAGTCTGAAATTTAACAGAACCAAAATCTTGCTCTAATGAATTTGAAAAGCTAGTCCAATTTTAAAAATGCTAGATCTAGCCTGAAATGGGCTAAACTGGCAGCACTGCCTGAGATCAGATCGGATCGTGTCGTCTGGTTGAGACATCTGCTCTCCTCTCTCAATTACTCTCTCACACTCGCAAAGCTTTATCAAGTGCTGAATTTGAACGGTACTATCAGTCGGATAGTCTAAGCATTTAAACACTGGAAATAGCTGAAGAGCTATCAATCGTTCTGATTTAATTTTCAATTGTATTTTTCAATTAAGTGTTTAATAAAAGCACAATTATTAGCCCTTATACAATGTTTGCATTCTTCGCAATTGTTCAAACGGCTGCCGGGACACGCTTACGTGCGGTTTATTTTAATAGTTTATCACCATCTCGTCACAAAATACGTGCTCAGCTCGTGCCCACACTGGCGGCCGGATTACATATTCCGAGTGCATAAGTTGTGTACTGAAGCATTCACTATCTCGTCTCTCAGTACGTGCAAGGCTTGTGCCTACACTGGTGGTATAAATAATGGCCATGCTTAAAGTGCATGTATGCCAGAGCTTCGGTCAGCTTGTATATTTTTTTCAATGCATTTATTTAATTAAATTAACGTTATATTTATTTTTCATGGACTACTCCTTTGGTATATCGTAGACTCCGCACTCTCGATTGGCAGGCAGCGAGACATCTGAAAGAGATCCATTAGTTACAGGATGATCCTATACTAGTAGCTTTCATTCACACCACCTATCTTATTGGGATATGACAAGTTTAGATTATCCATGATTTGAATGAACTCCTCCAGATCCTTGGTCAGCCGGGGGTTATAGCGCTTCTCCTCCCACACGCTGCTCTCTAGTTGTCCCCTGTAAGGATCAACGCATTAGCACTTGATCTTCCCTTTATTTTGATGTTCCTGTATCTCACTTGTAGTCATGGGCCGGGTAGATGCGATAGTTCTCGGGCAATGTAAAGATTTTGGTATGGACATTTTCGTAGAGAAATTCTGAACTGCCCTCCTGGAAGTCTGTTCGTCCACAGCCGCGTATCAGAACCGTGTCGCCAGTGAAGACGCAGGCCTGCTCCTTGATCACGTAGCTCATGCAGCCATTGGTGTGGCCCGGAGTGGCTAGGACATCAATGACATGGCTGCCAAATTCAATACGATCGCCCTCCCTCAGATACAGATCCGCTTTGGCTCCGCTGGCGGTGGCAATCATCGACTTGCAGCCAGTCAGCTCTCTCAACCAGCCGCTGCCCGTGATGTGATCCGCGTGCATGTGTGTGTTGACTTGGGAGAAATAATAAATAAGTGATATTAGTTCTATAAATGTATAGTGACTAAAAATACTCACTGGCATATTTGAGCTTGAAGCCCAGCTCCTTGACCAGTTGGGCATCTCGCTTGGCCTGCTCCAGCACGGGATCGATGATCACGGCCTCGCCAGTCTTCAGGTCGGCCAGCAAGTAGCTGTAGGTGCTGCTCTCCTCATCGAAAAGCTGTTGGGAATCAGTTGGGACAGATGCTTACAGTTTACATTAAAGGAGAGTACGTACTTGACGGAAGAAGAAGTCCGATGTAAAGGGTTGGCGCTCCGGTAGACTTGATAAACCATTCTGGATGTTTTCCAACAAGGCAAGCAAAGGGCAGTATGAGAATTTAATAATGGATTGTCATTGTATCGAGTTTTAAAACTTTAGGGTCTTACCGGCAGAGTAGTCGCACATATTGTGGCACATAGTGTCAGGGCAATCGCAAGAATTCGCAACATATTCCAAACTGAAAACGATGTAGGGACAGACCATTGTATCAGGCACTTCAATTCTGGTACTCAATGATTGAATTATGATGAGGTGAGTGTTTTTTTTATTGGACAGGTCCCCGCTTATCGGTCGCCAAGTTTCGGTTTGAATATTTTTGCTCTATCTCTAATTTATGGCTATCACGGTAATGGACGGTACCCATTTTCCTGTCTGCCCGATATTTGTTAAACTCCCTATCTAAGGAACTGATTGTGTTTGATAATAGCTCAGAATGATAGTACTATTATTTTATTTCGCATTACTCCTTTTGGGACCTAAAGAGTTGGTTATTTTTATTTCGATTTCCTAAACTGACTTAGAGACAACACTAAATACACTCAAATATGGTATAGATGCTGATCGGGAATGGAATTTTCGTTGCCATAAAGTATAGAAAAGTATAAGTATGCATAGAAAACTTAAGCATACCCTAATTTCGTCCATACCGTAATTCGTCCATTCAATTCATAAGTGATATACATTTCGTTTCTAAGTACTAAGTACTTCTTTTAAGTACTCACCTTTCTCTTGAGAAACTAACCAAAACTCTGTATTCTTGGAGGTCTGCTAAGAAACTGTTTCCAGTCTGGAGTAATGTGAGTTGAAATCAACTTTCGAATGGGGATCTGCTCTTATCTATTAATGATTTAGGTGCCATCAATTAAATCTTATCAGCATCAAGAGTCACACAAAATTTACGAGTGTGTGGGGGCCGGTCCGTCACTGGTGGCTATAATTTCCCGAATCAAAATAAATTCAGCACAAAATAAAATGAATAAGTTTATTTGTGTATTTACATTAATGTCTGTTTAAATTGTGCTAATAAAATCATCATACAATAATCTCTCACTTATCAGGTCTGCTTATACTACAAGACTATAGCCAAGCCCTATTTATCGATGTAGAAAGTAAGTACAGTGCACACCGAGCTGTACAACAACTACGATATAGAGTACAAGTGAACCTCTCAACAATTTACGTAAGAGACTGCTAATGGTAAACGTAATTCTAATTATAATTTTGCACATGTCCGCCTGTTGGTGTCAACTGCCATCTGCTAGCAGTCGGGGGTTAAGATAGTTCCATTAACACTACGTGGGGGGTGTTTTCCACCCCTTAGATGAGCTTGTGCCTGCCCAGAGAGGCTGTGTGCAGCGGACTGCAGCTCTCGATGAGCATCGTCTGGCCCTCTTCCGTGGGCGAGGCTGCGCTCTTGTTGTGGTTGTTATTATTGTGATGCATCCGTTTCATCGGCCGCTTCCGTTCCAGGTCGTGGCCGGGGTGCAGTTCCACGGTCTGCAGGCTCTGGGCCCGCTGCAGCGACAGGCGGAGGGGCTTCTTCGGTGGCGTCGGTCGCACTGCGCGGGTCTCTGTCGCTGGTCTGGATTCGTTCTCGCTGTCAAAGTCCAGGGACTTGACGCTCCTCATATCGCTGGGCAGGCGGGTGCGCAGGGTCTGCGCCTCGCTCTGGCGCGGCGTTTCCCGACGACGTTCCAGTCTGGGAAGACCATAGAGATTAGTATGGATGGAAACTAGCGGAAATTCTCTGTTTACATACCCGTTGTACTGGTTGAGGTGCTCCACACTGCGGGCATGTGCGCTCATCAGATGCTCGCGGTGGAGCTGCTGTTGCTGCTGGAGGGGGTCGCGTGGCCGACGCTCCCGGTGACGCTCCTTCTCGCGCCTGTGGTGCTGCATGTAAGCGGAGTCGCTGTTGATGGAGATCTTCGAGGCGGAGAGCGACTTGGAGGGCATGGAGTACATGTGTGGAAGACGCTCGCGCAGGTCGATGTGGGTGTTCTCCTTGATCAGGGTCTTGGTCACATGCGCGGGCGTCTGGGCGCTATCATCGCCCATCAGTTCAATTGGTTTGCCGCCCACCAGGGTGGTGATGTAGTTGCCCCGCTGGAAGATCAGCGGCTTCTCGGGTGGTGTCGAAGGGGGAGATGAGATACTAATGCTGGTCACGTGCTGCGACTGGTTGGTGGGTGTCTGATGCAGCTGCTGGTGCTGTTGGTGCTGCTGCTGCTGGTGATGTGGCTGCTCCTTGACTGTCTGCAGCTCTTTCACCTGCTCCTCCAAGTAAGAGATCCGATGCTGCAGTCGCATGTTGTTCTCCTTCTCCTGGTCGAGCTGCTTCTGGGGTATAGGGAGGGATTTCTTGCGCAGCACCACCATTTGGCACTTTCCGGAGTTGCCCACATGCTTCTGCAGCTCCTCTTTGGTCTTGCTGGTCACCAGTCGCCCGTTGATCTCCAGAATGCGATCGCCCTTGTACAGTCCGTCGCCCTCCAGGGCCCACTCCACATAGAATCCCGGCTGATCGGCCCGCTGCTGGGCTGCCCATCGTCCGGACGTCGCATGCACCGCATGCAGGCTGAGCGATACCCCAGAGCTAATGATATTGTAGAGGGTCTGGGCCTCCGGCTTGGACTTCTCCAACCTGGACTGCAGGGCCCGAGCCTCCTCCACTATAGAAAGCATCTGAAGCTCCTCCCGGCCGAGGGCATACTCCAGCTCTGCCTGACGGATGCGTATGTCGATGTTGCTAAGGGCGGAAGAGAATGGGATGGGAATTAGCTTTAATCTTCTTTGTTTTTATCTGCTTTCATTGCTTACTCTGTGATGTCTAGCTTCTCGAGGGCGCTCTTTAGGTTCTTGATCTTGATGCGTTTATTTTCCGCCTCGGACTTCAGTCGGCTCAGCTTTTGCTCGGCTGCCGGCTTCTCCGAATCGTCCAGCGGCGGTCCGCTGGGCCGTGGCAGCTTTCCCAGACACAGCTGGATGCGCAGATTCTGGATGACGGCCTCGCGATCCTGCAGAGCCGAACGCAGCTCCTTTGACTCGCTGCGCGTGGAGCGGGATGAGAGCGTTCCGCCCAGGGAGCCGCCCTTGCGCCGTCTTCCGGTAGAGGAGCTGTGGGTGGTCGTGTGACTGCCCTCATGGCTCTCGGCTGCCACTGCCGTGTGGAGACTGTACTTGGCAGCACTACCACAACCCTTCGGATTCAGAATGGTCTGTGAAAATAGGAAGAAGTGACAGAAATTAGTTGACATTCGTTTCTTCATGGGAAAGGATCTGTTTCTAGAGTAACGTCTAAGATCTGGGTCGAATATGGATTGCAAAAGTATTTATTTATATTTTGATAGATTACAAATCTCTCGGAAGTATTGTGCTATACGAATATGTTTGTTTAGATGCACTTGTAGTGGCTTTATAAGGATCTAATTAGAGTGGGTTACTCCTTGGGTATATCGTAGACTCCACACTCTCGATTGGCGGGCAGCGACGCATCTATCTTCTTGGGATATGGCAAATTAAGGTTCTCCATGATTTTGATAAACTCCTCCAGATCCTTGGTCAGACGGGGGTTATAGCGCTTCTCCTCCCACACGCTGCTCTCTAGTTGTCCTCTGCAAGGATCAAAGTGTTAGCACTCGATCTTCTCTTCATTTTCACATTTCTGTAACTCACTTGTAGTCGTGGGCCGGATAGATGCGATAGTTATCGGGCAGCGTAAAGATTTTGCTGTGGACATTTTCATACAGATTCTTGGGGCTGCCCTCCTGGAAGTCTGTGCGTCCGCAGCCGCGTATAAGGAGTGTGTCGCCAGTGAAGACGCAGCCCTGATCCTTGATCACGTAGCTCATACAGCCGTTGGTGTGTCCAGGAGTGGCCAGAGTATCAATGACATGGCTCCCAAAATCAACGTGATCGCCCTCCTTCAAGTGGCAGTCCGCCTTGGCACCGCTAGCGGCGGCAATCACCGACTGGCAGCCAGTCAGCTCTCTGAGCCAGCCGCTGCCAGTTATGTGATCCGCGTGCATGTGTGTGTTGACTGAAATACGTGCGTGGGATGATGAAATTATCGCCAAGGTGACAAGAGTGCCCCTTCCCCATCTCACTCACTGGCATATTTGAGCTTGAAGCCCAATTCCTTGACCAGCTGGGCATCTCGCTTGGCCTGCTCCAGCACGGGATCGATGATCACGGCCTCGCCAGTCTTCAGGTCCGCCAGCAGGTAGCTGTAGGTGCTGCTCTCCCCATCGAACAGCTGTTGGCGGTGATGGTTAATCTCGACTGAGAAATTTCATCAGATGCGTCAGATGCGGGTTACGTACTTGGCGGAAAAAGAAGTCCGGCGAGAAGGGCTTGCGCTCCGGCAGACTCATTGTCCCGAATTGACTATGGACTGATCGTTGTGGTTGCGACTCTGGGTTCCGCTGGGCATTGCGGACTGAGCTACTTCTGGCCAAGATCGTCTGATTCTGATGGCTGACTGATAGCCGCTTGAGGGCTGACAACATACTGCGGCCAACGATTCGCATTTTTTTCAATTTCCCAGTGCGATGGGGGCGAGCAGAGCTTCGGTTCTAATGGGGTTTGCTCGGTCGGTTTTAGTATTCGGTGTTCGGCTTCCGTTCTGTTTACTCGTTATATAAGCACACAACTTTTTCTGGTTAAAAATTAATCAGTTGGCTTATGGAATCAAGTTTCCTAATATTGTAAATTACTGATAATTGAGCACTTTTTGTTGTTGCTTGAGTTTCACGTCAGTCTCTCGTTTATCACATTTATCACAGCAAAATTTTTTAGCGGTAATGCCTAGCAATCGCGAAATCTTTGCAGGTATACGTAGTTTACAAAAAACACTTATCTTATGGCCAATTTTAGAGAAACAAACAAAATTTTAACAAACAAAGAACGTCAGCAACCGGACTACAGACAAATCAGCTGATTAGGTGAGATTCGCTTTCTCCCCAACTTTTGACGCTGTTTGAGCTTTTGGGGCTTTTGGGGCCTGTCGGTGGAACCTGTTGCTCTGCCACAACGTAAGCTTTTCGAGCTATGTTCATAAATGTGTATGTTCCATGTAAAAAGCATGTAGAAATGCCATTTCAGTCCACCTCCGAACCCCTTTCGAATATTGATTCGTAAACTCTATAAAAATTTGGATTTTTTGAGATGTTTTTTTAAAAGTACAAATGGATACAAATTTTCGTTGGTCTAGCTCTTATACTCTCTGAGAACTAGGCGTCAAACATGACGCACAGGCTCACGGACGGACAGGCAGAAATGGCTCAATCTACTCGGCTATATATATACTTCATGTGGTCGGAAAGGCTTTCTTCTGGGCATTACACACAAATCTAATATACCCCTAAACTCATTTTGATTATCGGGTATCAAAAATCATGTGGGAATAATGAATGTTTCATTTTCAGTTGAAGTTTTTAATCTCGTTCCCACAGGATAACGCTGCACAGTGTGTACTTCCTCCTGCCACATGAAAAAATTTGCACACCACCCCATAAGCCCCGAACCGAACCGAACAGAACCGTTACAAAGTCTTGTCTCAGCTGCACTTAAGTGCAACAACCACCGCCTTGACATAACTGAAGCTCCCTTTCACCCCTCGCTGGCAACCCTTACCCACTGCTTGAGGAAGTTGCAGTTGTTGAGAAATTTGTACAAAATTAATAACAAGCAGGGGAAGGAAATCGAGACTGGACATTGTCCAGTCCAGAGGGAGAACGTGAGAACTTCTTCATACAGGGGATTGGGCTATAAAATTTCTTGACTTTTCGTTCAGATCATAAATAAATTTGCATATATTAGAAGAGAGTTTCAAATATCAAATGCGGGCAGGGCTCTTTTCCTCCATGCCGTTGAGTAATTGATGTAATTTTGCGGAAGGAATTAATTGACCGTTGGAATGGTAGGGATCTGTGTCTGTCGTCAAGAAGGGTGTGAAATGCAGCCCGACTTTGGGGTGCGGTTTGTGGAAGGTCTTCGAAGAGTGTACTATGCTGATATTCCCTACCAGTCGCGTTGCGTTACTCAATATTTGGGCAATGCAAACTATTTGTTCAGCCATTTGTTATGGCCAATTTACTGGGACTATTTATAGACACAGTATTATTGCTACGGCAGCCTCTCCAACACCCCTTGACTAAACACCTGCCGGTTAATGAGTCGCATCGATGTGGATGCTGATGTCCGATGCTCGAACGCAGACAAAACAAAAAAAAAAAAAAACATACGAGTATTCGTCACTCACTCTTGCTTTCAATCATTTCGCTGCGAGTGAAAGTTCCATTGTGGCGTCTGTCCGACTTCTTTCCACTAAATTGCTAAGCAGAAATCATTTGTGAATATTCCTCTCCCCATTGCACCACAAAAATAAAATATCTCCAACATATGAGAGAGGTGAGTGAGTGTACTGAACCCAGATGTTAAAGATCTGTGGGTTCATAGGCTACACTTTCCCAACACTTTGACCCTTTCCAGCTTGGCGTAACTCAAAACTTCACTTCCTAGGATATGATCACAGGGAATTCTCTTGTTTCATAAATATGCTAAATATATTGAATCATAATTTCACTTTTCACACACTTATTCATTCCACTCGCCTCACTGGGCGGGGGGTGCAGTATGCAGTATTTCACACATATGTAATACTCGTGTCTGTTAAAATATTTAGATACTCGAACGCCCAATCGGTTGAATGCAACTCTCAGGTTGCATCGGAATGAATGACTTTGCATTGTTGTGGGCCGCGTGAAAGTGTTGCTTAAAAATGCATTCAAATGCATTTGCAATTAATTGTCGAAAACTGTTTGTGTTTTGGGGCTCTGCCATTTCAATCTTTCCGAGTTTTCAACTCTTTATTAGCTGGCATTTATTTCTTGGCGAGGGTAACTTTTGATGGAGTGCGGTGGGACCTGCAAGGGTATCTAAGACTTCGAATTGAATATCAATATCCCTCTGCTACGCTATATTTCGTCTGGTATTTGCTTGCTTGTAGCTTTGATTTATTTTTGGCTATTTGCGAATTTCATTTTCGACAACTTTCTAGCGTGAAACGATGCAAAGTACCCTCGAATGTACGTATAGTCCGCTTAGTACGAGTACGGTCTATGTATCTGCCTAGTGGTCGATGTCTGTCTGGGATGGTGATGGGGATGGGATGTGCGTGTCAACATCTAATTAGCGTGGATAGCATTTGGCGCTCTTATATAATCGAATCAGACAATGGGGCAGGGCACGAGCAGTGGAGGCAACAAGCGATAGATGTTGCATTAATTATGTGTAAACATACGAGTACCAGCATGTTTCTGTCTATTTCTATAATGTGGCCTTACACAATCGTCGTGGCTTGCATAGCTTTCTGTTTCAGTTTCTGCAATCGAATGAACTTACCATGGAGGCGGATTTCTGTTTGGCAAAGGCGCGATGATGCGCGGAAATCGGTTCGCTAACCACACTTCCGGTGTCCATGATGGAAATCGCTCAGCTCAGCACTGCAAAAGAGAGACACAAGAGAGCAACATTAAGTGGCATGCTGGATGGTAGTGGAGTGTGTTTGGGTTGGGTAAGTTGACAGTGATGTATCTGTGAGTGCACTTTGAACTTTTCGCCTGGCAAGTGGACAGCCCCACCAGACAGGCCCAGGCTGTAGCCTCCTCAAAGTCACTTTAATTTGCGTTCCGCTTCGCAAGACAAAAACAATTGCCAGACAGATACATACATGTATACATGTATGTGTATCTGCTTGTTAAGCCCCTCAATCTTATGGCATATGAGGGTATACCAAAATATAAAGATAAGATATGGCCAAAGATATAGCCCAGAATCTATGACAGCATTCTGTATCCCAATAATCTGTATTTACATACGAGTAGTCATTCTGTATACCTCTGGCCAGAGGAGTTTCGTTTCCCTTCAAATCATTTTGTAAATCCCATTTGTTAGAGGGTACCTTTTAGTCGGAACACTCCACTCTTGTGGGGTTGGGTTCTCGTGTGTGTCTTTGTGCAATTTTCGCTTGGCCGCTCTTAACAACTTTGGCACGTTACATTTACGATTCGTTGAAGCCAGTTTAATTAGGCGAGAAAAAGAACCTTCCTTCCTCCCATGTGTCAAGATTTCGTTCCATCATATCATTCATATTGCGAGTACGAGGGGAGAGTGGCGGAAAGAAATGTTCATCATATGCAAATGAGCTCTGGTGTTGCTGTGGACGCACTTTCGGTGGTGGCAGTGGCAGTGGCAGGGCACAACAAAGAAATGCATTCGATATGCAGATTCGCACAGCCGCAAGATACAATCTCACAGATGAGGTTGCATAGATCACATTACTTAATGTGCCGGCAAAGACAACGGCAACTCTTTTCCACTCTTCCCTGTATGGGTTTTCACTTGTTTATTTTGCCTTTGTCGGCTTCGGAAGACAAAGCCCTTCCATTCATACGCGTACATGGCCTGCACGGCGGATGCAATTGTCATAGATACTTGTGACATACTCGTAGAAAATGTATCTCATACGAATGGAGCAAAGGGCTTGCCAAACACCGGTATCTCGGCTTTTATAGGCCTCTAAAGCGGCAGAAAAACGAGTTCTATGGAAAATAGTGCGAAGAACAAGACCACCTACCGACCTAGAACAAATGGGTAAAACTTTCGTTGAAAAAGCTCTCGATAAAGTGAGCTTTTGGGGCTTATACTTGAAGTTCCAGCGAACGACTTTCGCCAACGACCATACTACGCTGAATACATCGGTTCTCGTCCGATCACCGAAATTAAGCAGCGTCGGGCGCGGTTAGTACTTAGATGGGGGACCGCTTGGGAACACCGCGTGTTGTTGGCCTTGTCAGCAAACTTTTTGCTCCTTTTTCTAGTTTTCTGTCTTTTTCTGTTTTCTGTTATATTCAGAATTTACGAGTACTCAAAGCCAAGTGTGCAGCTTCCTCTGCTCAGTCTCTTGTATCCGTATCATCTTTATCTAATAACATCACTTTGACATTGTAATATTTTGCTTGGGAGCAAGTAAGTCATTAGTCTTGGGGAATAATCATCATGCTGGCAACGCTTCGAGCAGCGTTCTACAAAATTTAGCTAAGACCTCCATCAGCATGTTGCCTGGGTCTGTCTTTTGGGGCCTATCTCTGGGATTGCGTGCTGGGACAGGAACTACCTGGGAAAAGCCGCGGCGAGAGGAGTGGGGCTGAGTTGTTTTGGTTAGCTCACCCAATGTGGGCCTATCATTAATCTAATTCCGCTTTAGTGTCTAATTATGGGCTAGATCTGGCCTGAACGAAAGCCCCGCCGAGTACTCGCACATTAGCAGTCGGATTCGGATCTGTCGCTGGCTGAAGTTTGTTAGATCGCTTTGCTAATGAGCTGAAATTAAGGGGATCTAAGAGGAATCTAGCAAGAATACGCCAGGGGTATCTGGCAGGTAAACTATCGCCAAATTGCAGCAGTGTCGGTTACTGTGGTGGCTGTGGGAAAAGTCTGTCAGGCATGAAGATCGTTCAACTACGAGTATTCTATATGCAGACACAGCCATTGGGAGCTACCTTATATGCATGTAATTATTATTCTTGAATTTGCGTGGCTAACTTTGAAGGGTTCTCCTTTTGTCTTCTCTCCCATTTAATAAGAACGAGAGC